AAAAAAAAAAAAAAAAAAAAAACAGAGTTCAAAGCCAGCCTGGGCTATATAGTGAGTTGGTGACCAGTCTAAGCTACATAGTGAGACCCTGTCTCAAAAAAACAAAACCAAACCAAAACAAGAACAAAAACCCCCAGAAATATCACAAGTTTTTCCTTCACTGGGACCACCTGTTATGTTAATAAGACAAGTATCCTTGTTTTAGCAAAACTTACATGTGTAAGTCTTACTTTGTGGGGTAGTTCTCTTACCTTCTATTATCTTTCCAGTCTCCCACCTCAAGTTCCAAAGTGCCTTGGAAATGACGAGTATGCAAAACAGGCATCAATCCACCAAGTGTATGGAGGTGCCCACACAAGTAAGCTGTAGCTGAACTAATCAATGAAAAATAAATGGAATAACAAAGGTTATTTGTGATGCCAAACCAATGAGAAAGTCTCTTTAGAAAATCAAGACAGGTACAGCAACATGAAAGAACTAAAAACAATTAGTTTTCACCTCATTATTGTCCGGATTCCTGGTGATGGAGAAAGGATAGTAGATGTTGTATAGTGTCCAAACCAAATTGTATGGTTGCTCCAACTGCTTTCCGTGGCCAATAATAAGAGCTCCTTCATCTGTTTCTAAAATGGAAGAAACATGGATGAACCTTTAATTAGGGTTCAGGCTAAAATCTAATGTCAATCGGTTAAACAACTCTCCTTAATTTGTATAATAATAGTTACATTGTATATATGGCCTAAATCTTACTAGTCAACGACCTGAATGATCTCTGTAAGTTTCAAACTGTTTTTATATATATTATAATTATTTGATCCTAAAATAACTCTGCAATAAGTAGGGAAGATATTATCCCCATTTGATAGTTAAGGACACTGGGAAATAAGGAAGTTAACACTAATCTTTTCAGCTATAATATACCACATTGCAATAAAAATGGAAAGGACATTGAAACTGAATTTCTAAAATATGTACATATGTCCCCAGAAATACTTGTACTTAAATGTTCGTAATAGCTCTAATCCTAAGAGGCAAACGTGAGAAGTCATCAACAAATATATCCGTAGTGCTGTCCTGCAATAGAAAGAAAAAACTACTAGTGCACACAACCACATGGATGAATCTCAGAAATACCATACTGAATATAAGAGGCCAGATCCAAGAGTAAATGCTGTATGATCTCACCTACATAAAACTTCCGAACAAACAGAACTCACTTATACCAGTAGAAAACTAACCATTCATTCCAAAGAGAGTGAAGACAGACTATACAAGAAACCTACATCATGGAAATGTTCTCAGTCTTTATAATGATTATACAAGTATGAACATTTGCCAAACTCTTCAAACACTAAAAATAAGTACATTTTATTATATGTAAATCATACCTCATAATACTGATTTAAAAAATAATTTGCAAGCCGGGTGCTAGTGGCTCATGCCTGTAATCCTAGTTACTCAGGAGGTAGAGATAAGAGGATCAAGGTTTGAAGCCAGCCCTGGGCAAATGGTTCTCAAGACCCTATCTTGAAAACCCTATCATAAGGAAGGGCTGATGAAGTGGCTCAAGTGGTAAAAGCGCCTGCCTAGCAAGCATGAGACCCTGAGTTCAAACCTCAGTGCTGCCAAAAATGAATAAAAATTTGCATATACTTATATATGCATTGATCCTATCTGTAAAGTTCTTATAGCAATAAATTTTTGGGTTCAAGCTTCAGTATTTCTAATTGTGTTTGAGGTAAGACCAAGGAATCTGCATTTTATAACAACCCAGTCGATTTTCATGTACCTGATCCTTGAAAACACTAAATAATAGAATTTAATAGAAGTTAATCAACTTTGAATAAAGATAGTTGGTAACTTGGAAACAAAATATAATTTAATTAAATAAAATGCCTAAAATAACACAATACATTTGAAAACTTTGTTCTCTCTCTCTCTATGTACTGGGGGTTTGAACTCAGAGCTTCAAACTTGCTAGGCAGGCACTCCACTACTTGAGCCGCATCTCCAGCATGAAAATTCCATTCTCTTGATCTCAAGCTCCTTTGAACCTTCATATTACTCAGAGCCTCTTTTGGTATTTAACAAATCCTTCTGTTTATTATAGTTATTTCTGTAGGTCTTATACTCTGCCACTAGATTCAATACTGTAAGAAAGGAGGGACTTGATCTTATCACTTCTGTTTTTACATATAGGCAGTACATGTATCTTACATAGGGCCATATGCTCATTAAATAATGAATTAGCATGTGTTATACTAACAAATAATGAGAGGGTCTCAGATGTAACTTTATAGGCAATTGTGATCCAGCAACAGTTTTCATCTTGCCAAAAGTACTTGATAGAAACTCATCTATTTCAGTAGTTGTCCTTTTATTAGAAAAAATACAGACCACCAATTAGTACTGGCAACTGTGGGGAACTGGCAATATACCATGTAGTACACCAAAATGTATGTTCCGCAGCCTGCAAAGTGCATCCTGAACCTAGTACGCATTTCTTAAATGTTTAATGAATAAATGTAAAATGTCAGGTGTTTCTTTCCCAGATTTTGGGATAAGAACAGGGCAGTAATAATAGGGCTCAAGCAACCAGTAGTTTCAAGCCATAATTATAGCCACAGTAACATTTTTGAGTGTTTCTAATAAGAATTTGTTTGCATAGGATACTTTAAAATTATCCACATATATCCAAGAAAAAAATAAATACAGGTAAACTACAAAGGGAAGTGAGATTTTTTTTACCATACCTCATCTAAAATTCCAAAGAAATTATAGGGTCTCTTAGGCCCTGGATTTTTGGTGGCATCTACAGAGATGAAAGAATAGTTGCCATAGGGAGTTGTGTGGACATAATGGAAAGAACCATCCCAACGCACAGCAGAGTATTTCCTAGAAATACAAGACAAGAAAGTTTTAGTGCAATCATAAAAAAGACAGGATGAATTTAAATTCCATCCCTCCTATCACACCAGATTTTGCTTCCCTTGAAAAGGAGATTTACTGATCTGGCAGAGAGACTAAATGTATATTGATAAAGTCATTTAGGAAATTTTTAAAAGTTCTCCCATTAGCTCTAAAGATAGCATACATGAATTCATCAATAACCAAACCCAAGGTCACCAAACAAAGCAGAGAAGGTAAGTATTTTAAACAATTCCCTAAACATTCAAAAAGAATCAGAATCTAATGAAATGGTTTTTGTCAGTCATTAAAACATTTAGCAGGAGCCTAGTGAGTGCCTAGCAAGTCTTAGTGTAGTGAGGTTCGGAAGGTGTTTACTTCTTGAAGTAGGATTACAGATGTTCAATTCATAGGGAAGGATTGCAAAGATAAAGTCACCAAGTCAGGAGAAAAACATTTGTCTAGAGCTGGGCCTGTAAACTTTTTTGTTCTCTAAAAACACAATGATAACATATGCAGGGGTCACATCCAGTAAGAAAGTACTCATTAACTTCAGTGTCAACAGTGTTCAAGTGGCTATAAGGTTGGAGGGTGAAAAACAGGGAGAAAGGCTGGGTAAGACAGCACCAAGTAGGTACCCGTTAAGCATTTGTTAAATGAATGAGAAGGGAAGTATAGATTATACTGGGGGCACACGTACATTAGTCAAATGCCAGAACCTTGTAAGAAAAGTTGGCTTCGTATTTTATCTAAGTATCTTATATAATGTTTTACCTAAGAGCATAGATAGAAAAATACAAGTAAACACCAAAACTTAATGTTCTACCAGGAAGCCATATTCAAGCAAGAACAACCATCAAATATATCATAATCAAAATAAATATATCATAGACATTATAATTAATATTCAAAAATTAGTCAAAACTAATTTAAAGTCAATTATTTCTATTGCCCTTCTAGAAATTTCTATTTATGAGTTTTATTCCACATAAAATTTTTATTTATATTTTTTCCTGCTTAATTTATCTTTCAGTTATTCCTTAGGATCTAAGAATCTCATATATGTAGCTTCCTTTCCTACATTTTTGGGTCTTTTTTTGGTGGTACCAGAGGCTGAACACAGGGCCTAGCAAGTGCTCTATGATTTGAGCCATGCCCCTATCCTTTTTTCTTTTTATTTATTTTTGAGACTCTTGCTGCCATTGTCCAGGCTGGCCTCAAACTCACTATCTTCCTAATTTTACTGAGGTTACCTACATGACTTCTTTCCTAAAGTTTTGATACATGAAAATCTAACTGTATAGGGCTGGGGATATCGCTGAGTGATAGAATGCTTGCCTACCATGTGCAAGACCCTCGTTCAGTCTTCAGTACTGAAAAAAAATCTGACTAAAAGCTAATTGGCTATTTGAACATAGAGGTTAAAGCATATGGCATTAACATACTCTGAATTCTGAATCTGGGCATGCTCTAGAGTGTTGTTTTGTTTTAGTTGTGTATGTATTATGTATTTATTTTTCAGTGCTGGGGATCAAATCCAGAGCCTAAATACTCTACCACTGAGCTATTTGCTCCATCCCTGGGGCAATATTAAGATGCAATTTTAAATTTTTCTCTTTTTTTTTTTGGTGGAACTGGGGTTTGAACTCAGAGCTTCGTATTTGCAAAGCAGGCACTCTACCACTTGAGCCACACCTCCAGTCCAAGATTCAATTTTAGCTTTAATTTTTTTCTTCAGGATGATATTTCTAGACCTCTGGAAAAATGGTATTTATTACATTCACATAAATTTTAGGTGGTTAGAAACAAATAATAAGGTTAGAAAGATTTTAAGTTTCTAATTATACTTTACGTTTCTAATAACCACTGAGGCCCCAAATCCTGTTAAGTCTTTCTTGAAAATGTCTTAACTTCATGCCCACAGTCACCATCAAACATACAAAGTTAATAGGAAGTGAAAGATTTTTATCCCTGTCATTTTTCTTTCTCATATTAACAAGGGGACAGCTTCCTCTTCTAAGTATGGTGACTAATTATACAAATTCAGTTAGCAAACCAATGCTTTTTAACCTGTCATCCTCATATTGTTCTCACCACCCACATATCTAAGAACTTTGCTCAGACATTGGTGTCTTCTATTTATTTCATATCATAACTGGACTATTGCAGCACCCTCCTATTTGGTACATGTAACTTAATCTCTCTTTTTTCCTTTTTTATTGTGAGATTACCTTTTAGAAAAGACTATTTTCATTGTGTTCCTCGGGTCCTTAAGACCCTGTACTAGAAGGGCTAGAGGTATGACTCAAGCAGTAGAATGCCTGCCTAGCAAGCACAAACCCTGAGTTCAAAACTCAGTGTCACAAAAAAAAAACCTCTAAAAAAAAAAAAAAAGGGCTGGCAGAGTGGCTTAAGTGGTACAGTCCCTGCCTAACAAAGGCAAGGACATGAGTTCAACCCCCAGTACCACCACCCTGCCCCCCAAAAAAAGAATCTTGCTGGATTGTGAACTGTTGCCCATCACACTAAATTTCAATGGTTGTTTCTAAAAACTTCCATAAATTATACCTATTCAGTGTCATACTAGTCATCAATATGAACTGGTGATACCAGTTTTCTTACTGTCCTGTCAAAAGCTCGTTTTAGCTTTTAAAGCTCTGTTCATGCCTATCTTTTTGTATAAAATATACTCCTTGGCATTTCTTAGTTCTCTAAATGCAAACCATCTTTTAAGATTAAACACAATTTTTACTTCTTTAAAAACTCTTCTCTATGTCCACTCTGTGCTGATCTCTGCCTTTTCTTATTTCTCATAGTGATTATCATGTGTAGTAAAGAATGCAGCATTTCATCAGCCATTCCATCATGTCCTTTTCTAATTTATCCCTAAATAATTCTGATCTCCCTTAACTAGACTATAAGTTGTTTGGAGGCTCCTCCTTCCCTTGACTATGCAACTGGGCTTTTAACGAACACTTGCTACTTGATTGCATGGCACTGAATGCCCTAAACAGAAAGTGAAATTGCACCCAAAAGAATTCAAACCCACTTAAATTAGACAGTTAGTTTTCTAACTCAGATATTCCTAACCTTTTTTACGTTCATGATGTAAAATGTTAATGTTTTGCTAATTGGATGAAAGGATAAAGCAGCCAGGGTTGACCATTGAGTTCTCCAGTCACCTCATAAACTGAGAAAATCAGTGTCTCAGCATTGTGAAAACTCACCTCAGTAGTCAGGATGACAAGCTCTGATATAAATGACTTCTACTGCGCGCGCACGCGCGCGCGCACACACACGCGCGCACACACACACACACACACAGAAATGTATAGAATATTAAAAGTACTGGTGACCAACACAAAGCTATCTGACACAAAAAGAATTAAAGGAAAGAGCCAGGTGGCCCACAGCTGTAATCCCAGCACTCAGGAAGCTGAGGCAGGAGGATCACAACTTTCAGGGCAGCCTGGGCTACATAGCAAGACTTTGTCTCAAAAAAAAAAAAAAAGAAAGAAAAAGAAAAAAAATCAACAGAAAATCTTCAAACAAAAAGAATTGAATCTGTCACACAGAAAAAAGACAGTTTCTTTTTCTAAATTACCACAGGTTCTTTATATAAAAATTTTATTCATTAAAAAATGTTTTCACTCATTCACAGAATTGACTGCACCCTCCTTGTAACAGACTCTGTTTAGTGGTCTGTCTTCTGTTCATTTCAGTACCTGTAATAATTCTTGACGCTGTCCAGACTTGGAATGTTGTATACATCTAATTGAAAAGAAAAAAAAGCAAACATTCATCTATACAAAAAAGAAAAATGTAAATATGTTCACAACTAATGAAAGATGATGATTCTGTCTATAACACTTAAAATGATAGAATGCCACTCAATTAGATTAATAATTTTTAAAGCCTGATAGCTTAATGGAACTCAGATTATCTTGAAGATGTAAAGGCACTTAATATACTGGAGAATAATAGGTACTTTTAAATTTTTATTCAGAATATATATTAGTAAAAGTTCTAAGACTGGACTGTTGCTGCTGCTGTGTTAATCATGGGAATCCTAGAAGCCAGAAAGAGGTGAATTCATGACTGAACTATAGATCCATGCCACATATCTCTAAACAACAGATCACTTTAACATCAGAGACAAAGCCCTCCTCTTCTTAAATCTTAAAAAAGATTCAGCGGGAAAGGGGTTACAAATGATAAGAAGCACAGTTAAAGGTATCATAGAACATTTATCTGGAAACACAATGATTTCATAGAGCTTGACTGGCTTGCTGCATTAGCTAAAATCATTTATCATCTTTGACTTCTGGGAATGCACTAAATTTCTAATACCCTCAGAGAATAAGCTCTGAGTTCAATTTAGGACAGAAAAAATCTTAATATGAATGCAATCCACTTGCTAAAAAAAAAACAACCCTGTTATAGTAAATCTTAATTTAAAAAACTAGCTTCCTTACCTATCTTAATACAATTTTAGAAACATATATACATATGAATATATGTATATGTGTGTATATATACATATATATATATATATATATATACACTCATGCCATCAGCATTCATGCTTGTATAAATTAAATTACATATTATGAACTCCAAAGAACTACACAATTTATTTAATCACAAGTCTTTTTTATATTTATGGCTTAAAATAGTAGCTTGGCTTAGAAATCTTTTTAATATATGTAATTTACTATTTATTGCAAAAGAACTTGACCTATACCAATGATTAAGATTAGGATAAAAGGGAGATGTAAACACACAAGAGAAAGTTGTAAGCCAAATATCCTATTTTAATTTATAATTCCTAGTTGTTTTGTAAGAACTATTTATAAGCAGGGCATTTTTCTGGTCAAACCAATTGCTATGTATTTTGACAAGGAGACTTTATCTGTTCAAAATGGTAATTCAAAAAATACATATATGTACTCATCAGCAAATATCTAATTAATAAGAAAGTCAACCTTTGGGTTAGGGGGCTTGGTTCAAGTGGTAGAGTGCTTGCCTAGCATGCACAAAGCCTTGGGTTCAATCCCCAGTACCACCAAAAACAAACAAAAAACAAAACAAAAAAACAAGAAAGTCAACCTTTATAAAACAACCAACCATACTAGCAGGTCTCTTAGAAAAGAGTTCATTTCCTTACTAACACAAATATGATAATCTAAAAGAGGGAAGGGATTATCTATTTCTCCACCTATGTTTGTGGGATTTAAATGACCCTGTCTTGAATATACCCAACAACAAAAAGGGCTGGTAAAGTGGCTCAGGCGGTAGAGTGCATGCCTAGCAAACACGGAGCCCTGAATTCAAACCCCAGTACTGCAAACAAACAAACAAAAAACTAGAACAATCCCATCACCCCCACATTCTCTTCTAATGCCTCTTTGTAATCAGTTCCTCCTCCCACCCTTACTCCTGGCAACCACAACCTGTTTTTTTGTCTATAGCTTTGACTTTTCTTGAATGTCATAAAAGTGGAATCATGGATTTAGCTTCTTTCACTTAACAAAATGTAGGTTTTTAAAAAATATATGCCCACATGCGTTTTGGTAGAAGCTATTCTTCACATAAAGAAGAAATTTTGAAATGAAACCAACTTTCATTTCAGAGGCTGACTGTGGCCTCTGAAGTTTTAAAATCATGTATCTAACTATGTTTCAGAGATGTGGTCTTAAGCATATCTAAAATTATATTACACTTTCTCATTTTATAATTTATACTCTAAAGACTTTAGGGTCCTGAAACAACAACAACAAAAAAATCTGGTTTTTATTATACCTGGGTCTTGGCTCTTACCATGGTTTCCTTTGATATCCAGCCACTTGGTTTTCTCCAAGACTTTTGTCTTCTTCAGAATACCATGGTAAGTTTGCCATTCTACTTCCTGCTGCCTGGATCCCAGCTGTTCCTTTGTTTTGGCATCTGTCAGGTCTCCTGTAGGTTTACACAAGAATAATAGTGTAAAATTAACTCCAGGAGGTTTGCTTTTTTTTTTTTTTTTTTAAAAAAAGGCACACTGAAGAAACAAAGATAAAAGTACTCAACATGTACAAGATAATCACTTTTGAGTCTACCTATGTCCTAAGAAAGCCATTTAAACCAACAAGACTATCTCAGCAAGGGCTTTGTTTATTATAAGTTAACAAGTGCCTATCTAACCTCCTGTGATACTAGAAATGGGTTGTGAAATATATATATACACACATATGTATATATATATATTTTTTTTTAAAGAGAGCTGTACAAAATGCATCAACAGACTGACAAAATGGGAATCCTTTATAAGAAATTTCAACACTCCAGAAGTTGTCTAATATCTATTGCAACCTATTTTCCAAACCTAAAATCAGTATGTGATTTGACCAAGCATTATGTTTACAGCAAGAAGTAATCTGGAAACCAGATGTAGTGGTGCAAGCTTATAATCTTAGCATCTGGAAGCTAAGGCAGGAGGATTGAAAGTTCAGGCTAGCCTGGGCTACATAGCAAGACCAAGTCTCATTAAAAAAAAAAAATCCGGAATGTGTAGTTTGAAAAATGAAATGCCAAAATTTCTAGGAAACTAACCAGAACACTTGACATGGGGGCTTTTTCATTCACAGAGGAGTGACAGCCCGTCGAATTAGCAGAGGTGTTTCACTGAGGTGAGTGGCAGATGAACCACCCAGTAAGCAGGCTAGATGCAGCTTCCGCTTCTCCCCACCACACTTAGGGAGCACCTTTTCAAGGGCTTGAAAAGTCTAGGAAATCCAAGTTCACAAAAGCATCAAGGAATGAAGAAAAACGGCCCTGAGTCACTTGAAGTCTCAAACAACTGCAAATCTAAGATTAGTTTATAGGGAAAGTTAGCAAGGAGGAGAACTTTTGATTACTTGTTAAAGAACTTTCCCTAAATTCTCAGAACCAGCACAAACTAGTACCGTTAAAAACCATATACAGACACAGCAGAGAGCACCCTGACACGCAGCACGAGCCTTTCTCCTACTGCTTCAACAAAACCTTGAGATGCAAAGCTTTTCGCGTGGATACTGACACCATTATCCATTGGCAAAAGGAATTCCAAAATCCCATTCCCTCTGCCTCCCAGGACTCGGCTGGGGCAGTGGGACACAGCGTTTCTAACGCCCCCAAAGGGAACAGCTGCCGCCCTGGCTGGCATCCCACTAAAGGGACCAGAGACCACCACCACAGCACGGCAATCCTCCCTACCTGTAGCTAGGACGAGAGCTGGTTGAATGATGTCAATAGTTTCAGAACAGAACTTCTCTAAGTCTACCGCTCTGCCTGGATCGCGGAACCTGCTCAGGTGAATGTCGGATATCTGCCAAAAGCAGGTGTGGAACAGAGACAGATACCGGAGTCAGGAAGAGGCGGCCCGCGCAGAGGTGGCCCAGCGGCTCTCTCGGGTGCAGGGAAAGGCGGAGGTGCAGTGCATCACGAACCCCCCGGGGAAGGGCCACCTCCCGTTACAACCTGACCCCCGCGCGCCCGCCCGGCCCCCGCCGCGTCACCTGCAGGCCCCAGAAGATGTTGCGGTGTCCGCCGCCCGGCGCAGGCTGGGGCCGCGGAGGAGGGCGGAGCCGGGGCAGCGGCGGGGGCGAGCCGGCCAGGCCGTAGTGCTCCAGCAGCAGGGTTACCAGCGCCGCGGCAGCCAGGCCCGCGACCACCCTCACCGCCAGCACGACTGCCATCCCACCCGCCGCCGGGCTCCGCGCCCCGCGGCCGCTCTGCCCGCACTTCCGGACTCTGTGGTCGTGGCACGCCGGGCGTAGCGGGCCGCGCCCTGCCGCTGGCCGAGCCTGCCCCTTCGCCCTCGGGCCGCCGGTGCTCCCGGCTCGATTTCCACGTGTTCTGCGGAGTTAAAAAGGAGCCCGCGGGCCTCCAGGCCCACGGCAGTCGCCGCGAGCTGGCGGAGAAGCCGCCCGGGACTTGCCGCTGGGAGGCGGGGGCGAGAGCCGAGGTTCCGCCCGGGTCAGTCTCCGGCTCCCAACCCGTAAAACCGAGTTAACGATAGGGCCGTGCGGGCTTCGCAGGGCTGAGAAGCAAAGCGAGTACGCGTGAGGACGCCTCTTAAACGTCTGCACAGTGCGGCAGCTGGCTTTCTTTGGCCTTCTCTCAATTAGTTCGCACGACGCCGTACGCTTTCAGTAGGTGTAATTCACGTTTTGAGAGTTTTTCCTTAACCTGATTTCGTATGTACTTGATTACATGCCCTTCATTCAATAAATAGTAAATATATCCTAAAGGCCCAGGCCCAGGCGAAGAATTAGGTTGGGGCCTTGGTCTTAAATTTGTCTAACCACTCCCCTACTGTTGAAGTTTCCGAGTGTTTACTATGTGTCGCTGTTCTGAATAAACATTTTAATACAAATAGGGCTTTATTTTAAACCCCTCTTGTTTACTTGGGAAATAGTTAGCATTGGATTTGTGCCAATTTCATTTCACTAAGCACTTTTTAGGTACTTTTCAGGTACTTATTTTTGGAATACAAGACATTGATCTAAGTAGAACACAGAAAGAACCATAAGTAGATAAGGGGCCATGGTTCATAATCTTAGGAGCTTACATATACGAAAGAGAAATATACAAGTAAGTTTAATATAAGAAAAATATGTTATTTGCCACAGAGATTACTGGATGTAAGAGGATAGGGGAAACTTAAAATGGAGAAAGATCATATATTTGAAAAGAATCAAGAAATGTTTTATTTAAGGAGGTGGCATATAAAGGATGGTAAGGGGAAGAGGGGGATGAAGGAGAATGGTGGAGGGGGTGAACTCAAGTATGATACATTTGATATATTGTAAGAAATTTTGTTAATGCCACAGTGTATTCCCACCCAGCACAATGATACAAAAAAACAGGCAAAAAATAAATAAGACCACAGCCAAAATATATATATATATATTCATCTATATACAGTCATGTGTGAAGCCCTGACTTTGATCATAGTACCACAAATAAATGAATAAAACAGAAACTACATAATTTAACAACTGATTGGGCATTTGAGAGAGAATAAAAGATAGTACCTACAGCTGAGTGCCATGACACACACTTGTATTTCTAGCTATTCAGGAGACAGAGAAAGGAGACAGATCTATCTATCTATATATAGGATGGTAGTTGGGGTGAGAAGAAGCAGTTTCACCAAGAACTGACAATATGAACCAAAGCATTAAGGTGAGAAAAATGCAAGGTATGTTGAGGAAACGATGTCAGTTTGGCTAGGCTTGGGTTATGCTTGGAGAAGCAGTGGTAATTAGACCAAACTCTTGGCTTGAGTCACATTGTGAAAGGCTTTATGAGCACCCAGAGTGAAGACAACAGAGCTCTGCTTTGACATCATGGATCCAGCAACAGCATTGAGAACTGACTGAACAAAGGAAAGGTGTGACAGGGAATCCTGTTGTAAGGAGATCAAATTAATACAGGCAGTAGGTAATTACAAAGGCTAAAGAAGATGGGAGAGTGTAACATTGAGATTAGAAAAAAAAGAGGTCAGATGTAAAAATAATTGTAAAGCTAGACACTATATAGGGTTGGGGATGTAGCTTAGTGGTAGAGCACCAGCCTAGCATGTGTGAAGCCCTGACTTTGATCATAGTACCGCAAATAAATAAATAAAACAGAAACTACAGAATTTGACAACTGATTGGGCATTTGAGAGAGAATAAAAGATAGTACCTAGAGCTAAGTGCCATGACACACACTTGTATTTCTAGCTATTCAGTAGACAAAGAAAGGAGACCTTTGTACAGGGTTTCCAGGCCAGTGTGGGCATTACAGTGAGACACTGTCTTAAAAAAAAAAAGTGCCAACATTTGTAACCTTAGTGACTGAGGGACCAGGATGGTAATGTATATGTGGAAAATACCACCTGTCAATAAAATACTTTTTTTGGTCTTAGAAAATACCTGGATGGATATTTTAAATCCAAGTTTGGAAGACACGATTGTGATGACCTTCTTTAAAACACAGGCAATGTGACTGACATATGTAAAATGCGTTTGGAAGGTCTTACAGGAACCTAAAAAATATGAGAAATCACTTAACAGGAATAGGATACAAGAGACTGTGTCATAACAGACAGAAACAGACATGCCAACTGAGGGATCCTGGATAGAGAACCATGGTTTAAAGTCACAAAGGCCCACAGTCTGAATTTCAGATATTCAACTGTACTTCCCCTGTAGTAATCAAAGTGAGTAGGAACAGGAATTTATTTAATGGTGGTTAATGATGCTCCAGGGAAATACTGGTTTGACAAGCTGATCACTACAATTCAGTATAAAATGGGGGCTTTTAGTGCCATTTTTTCTGACAGTCAAAGCAGAAAGGTTAAATAAATTACTTATCTCATAAAGAAAGCAGGCAGCAATTCACCATGAAAGCAAACTATCTAGAAGAATTTATCACTTAAATGTTTAACAATATAATGCATATTGTCACCAACAGACATAAATTGAACTAAGGGACTCATAAACATAAGTCGTAGAAATTGTCTTCAAATCACTATTACTTAATTGACCTTGTTAAAAATCCAAGAATGTAGTATTTAATCATTGTTCTATGAAGTTACTTTTATAGAAGCTAAAGTAATAAAATCAAATAGTTTTGTATATAATGATTTTTAAAATTATCTTTAAAATAATAACATGCAAGCTGGGCGCTACTGGCTCACACTTGTAATCCTAGCTACTCGAGAGGCAGAGATCAGGAAAACTGAGGTTTGTAGCCAGCAAGAGCAAATAGTTCTCAAGACCTGATTTAAAAAAAACCCATCCCAAAAAAAAGGACTGGTGGAGTGGCTTAAGGTGTAGGCCCTGAGTTCAAACCCCAGTACCACCAAAAAAAAAAAAAAA